TATTCGGACTTGTTATATACCCACGAATACGAGAACAAGGAAGAACACGATAGCGTGGTGGAATGGAATAGTATGTTTGGGTGGTTTTGCCAAAATACCGATGCGTCCCAACTAACTGGCTAGAGAGTCGAATACGAGCAGTGTAACGTAACACGACAGCGTGCCAAATGGCGAGAATCCTTGATCGGGTGCCTTCAGCTTAGCGAGTCCAGTTAAACTATCAAGGTCAGCATCAATGCTGAATGTCGTCAAACCCTAGGCTATTGATTTTGGGGAAGTGTGTGACGCTACAACTTCCCAGTAGGTTGATACAGGTTAGAGGACATAGCAGGAGGCTACAAAAGGAAAGAACGAACATTATCTCCACGGAGTATTTGTACTTTTGTCGCATAATCAACTCCTAAAATTAACTTTCAGACGAAGTGATGTCTTCATCATCAGTTGACTTGTTCGAAAGATGAGATAATCATGGCAATCTATTGGAAAAGGATTACCGAAGGCTCTAAGTCTTCTTTCATCAAACTGGAAATCTGAAACTATTCATACTGATAAACTGACTCAAGAGTTGCTGGTGTAAAATTGATTAAACTGTAATTGAATTAGACTTCCGATCTCTAATGTTGTAAAGATATTTGATCATGTGTAAAGTGATAGGTATACTGTTCAATGTTTCATTGTATTCTGTTTTGTTTGTATGAGATATAGCTATTGATAGTAGTATGGAGAGGTGTTAGCCCACTGACTGAGGTTCATGAAGCTTTTGGAACTAAATATTGGCGATTAATGCTTGATATGTACAGTAAAGTGTTCATAACCCTTGTCTATTTTTATATCTTCTTTTCATATTCAACTTTCATTTGCATACTACTATGAAGTGTGTTAACTTGAAGAAGTGAAGCTATTCTATGTCAGATTTTAGGTGGATCGGTATGATTATGGATGCGCTTATATTTGTGGGATATTTAACGTGTAGAATCTTTATATCTTCATCAACGCACTAGAAATATTGAGAGATAGATGTAAATGGAGGCAGCGAAGATAGGATTTCAAGTGAACTTAGAGAAGATAGAGATGATGAAGATACCCAACCAACACCTACAACAACAACAACAAACACCAATCACCATCAATGGGAGAAACTTAAAGGAAGTAACCTCTTTCACCTGTCTAGGAAGTAGTTTCAACTACAGGTGTCGGCACAGACGAGGACGTCAAACCCAGGATTGGAAAAGCAAGACAGGCGTTCATTAGCCTGAAACCAGTGTGGAAATCTACTGCACTCAGCATGTGCAACAAGATGCGGATTGTCAACACCAATCCAGTCAAGTCAGTGCTTCTGTATGGCTCAGAGACTTGGCGCGTTACGAAAGGCATTTCCAACAAACTACAGACGTCTATGAACAACTGCCTACGCTGGCACGTTACTGAAGCTCAGATGGCCAGAAGGAATAAACAACAAGGAACTCTGGCCGGGCAACGAACCAACGAAGCAAGAACCTATCACTCCACAAATATGCGGTAGAAGGAAGTGGAGATGGATTAGGTATACACTGAGAAGGCCAACTGGGGACATCAAGCGCGAGACCCTTGAGTGAGACCCAGATGGGAAACGACGAGTTGGGCGTCTGAGTCGAGGGTGACATGGAGGAGACCGTGCGAGGAAGAAATGAAAGCTTGTGGGCAGTCGTGGAGCCGGGTTCAAAAGATTTCAGAGAACAGAGCGCATTGGGGACATGCTATTGAATCCCTGTGTTCCATTAGGAACCCAAGGGATGAATAATGGTAATAATAATAATGTAGATAGATCAGTCAAATCAATGACTATGCCTTCAATGACGTTCAGCATTAGTGCTGACCCCTACACGTTTTGATAAACTTCTCTAGCTGAATGTATGCTGTTAAGCAACATCATTATTCTTGAAATTATCATGTTATATTGTGCTGCTTGTCAGTGAGTTCACGTATCCCAGTTTGTTGTCATGTTTAAAGGGATTATATCACCTCCTTTTAACAACTGATTTAACCTTCTTTCTGAGGCTTACACTTAAATCTACATTTATTGCTTGAGAAAAGAAGGCTATGGGTTTATGTTTATTTTTTTTTCAGTAGGTTTCGAACGAGTCAATTGGTGATGAGGACACCATTTCTTCTGGGAGACGGTTCCAAGAGTTGATTACTCCACACTAGAACTAGTACTTTGTGGAAACTTTTCGTTCTTCGTTTTTATATTCTCTTGCTATGTCCTCTGAGGTGTTCCAACCTAATGGGAAAGAAAAAGCAAAGATAGATAAGGTTGAAAGTCACTTCTTAGAATCCTATATAGTATGATTAGATCTCCCTTCTGTCTGTGATAGAATAAAGAGAAGACATTCACCTGCCATATGTGTGGGTATCCAAAAAGTATAGTGTATTATCAGATGGTGTTTAACCTAATAAATAACTTGAGTTATACGTTAATAAACTTTCAGTAGAAAGTTTAAAACTTTTCTACTGTACTTTAATGTATTGAATATTCCCATTTAGACATTTAGAAAAAGACTGATTGGGCGAAGAAATATATATTCCTTTTCAATTAGGTCTTCATATTGAGCTCTTGATTAATATATATAGGGTTTACAATTTAAGCAACGCACCAATCACGTACGGTGATGTTTCGGAAATAATAATGTAAATAATCAATCAATAGAGTTACTAAAATTGGAAATATGAATGTTGATAGAAACAAGGGGAAGGGGATGTACAAAGTAGACCTAGAAGTTACATCATATTGACGGCCACGGTAATGAAAGTGGTCGAACAAACTTATTTTGGATACAGTGGTTAGATTTGATTTTAAGGTGGGTTGCAATCGCCTCTGCTATGTGAAGTAATCGAGTGCGTAATCCATGAGGTAAATTAATTGGGATCTGATGAATAAATTTGAAAGCTTTTCCAGTAACCACTTGATGTCCCGTGTCAACTAGGTGTGCAAGTATGGAGCTCTTTATAGTTCTAGTTTGTCCATTGTTCAACCATGATGGGTGGTGCTCATAAATTCGACGATGGAACTGCCTGATTGTACGTCCTATGTAACTAGCTCCATAGGAGCAGTTGAATTGATAAATGCACATAGAAGTGGCAGAATCAGGCAGTTTGTCTTTATTTCTTGCATCTAGAATCGGGCGGTTGTAGAAGGTGGGACATAATTTAGCGTCTGGGAATGCTTTATACAATATCACTTTTACATTCCAGCTTCAAGAAGATTTATTTCTTAGGAACTGTTGACATTCTTGTCTTAACCTTCGTAATATTCATGTGCTTATTTACAAACTTGTCTGGGTAGTCATTCCTACTAAGCAGATCATGGATGGTGGCACATTCTTCCTTTTATAGCATCCTCTGAGCAAATAGCTGAGGCACGCTATGCTAAGCATTTCATTAGGTTCCTTTTGTATTGGAGGGGTACAGCACTAAAGAAGTGCATGTGTATTGACCTGTTGGTGTTAGCTTTCTATAAACATTTCGCTTCAGGGTTCCATCTGACCTTCTTACCAACAGAACATCAAGTAATGGGATATTGTCATTCTTCTCCTCTTCCATTATGAAGTTGATTAACGGATGAACACTATTGAACATATTCAGAACAGCATTCTTATCAATGTCATTCCATTTACCTAAGAATAACTAACCTGCATCATATTCCAAATTTTAGTAACTTCATTGATTATTTACATCATTATTTCTAAATTATCACCATGTGATTGGTAATTTCATTCAATGGTAAACCTACGTATATTTGTGTAGAGTCCAATGTGAAGATCGAATTGAAAAGGAATATGCATTCCTTCGCTCGCTCAATGAGTCTTTTTCTAAATGTCTAAATGGGGATATTCAATGTATTAAATAGAAATTCTTTCATTAATCTCTGTATAGTGAATAGTGGAGATGTGACTTCAGTATCCAACTTTCAAGATCATGAGTCCAATTTGAGGGTTGTGTATTTTAGTCATTGTCGACCGAATAGCCTGTAGCCTGGATACATAAACTTATATAGAGTTAAGGTGCTTTGAAGTTATCGTTTTGATCACTTTACTTTGATTCCGACTTAATTCTGTCAATGCACATGGAAGTGCACATACACCTAGAATCCCGTGATTATAGATGATGGGACATAATTTAGTGGTTGGTAAGGCTTTATGCAAGACTCTTTTTATGCGCTGTGTGATAATCTCACAGGCAGTGTCATTCTTGAATTTCAGCCTCAAGAAGATTTGCTTCTTAGGAACTATTGACGTTCTTGTCTTAAACCTCATAATATTCATATGCTTAATTACAAACTTGTCTGGGTAGTCATTCCTACTAAGTAGATCACGGATGGTAGTGCACTCTTCCTTTATAGCACCCTTTGAAGAAATAGCTATGGCACAGTATGCTAGGCATTTCAACAGGTCCCTTTTTTATTGGAGGGGTACGGCACTAAAGAAGTGTATGTGTATTGACCTGTTGATGTTGGTTTTCTACACACAGTTTGTTTCAGAGTTTCATCTAACCATCTCATCAACAGAACATTAAGTAATGGGATATTGTCATTCTTCTCCTCTTCCATTGTGATGTTGATTGACGGATGAACACTATTGAACATATTCAGAACAGGATTCTTATCAGTTTCACTTTTGAGAATTATAAAAAGGTATCATTCATATAACCACAATATATAACTCTAAACGGTTAATAGTATCATCCAGTGGACTATTGTCAAGAAAAAAAATCTGCTAAAAGTGAGCCAAAGGGTGACCCCCCCCCATAGCAACACTATCAGATTGCCAGTAGAGATCATTGTTGAAAAGAAATTGTACATTCATTATACACCTCAGAAGTAATTCTTTAATAGTGTTAATCAATTCTTGTTTGTAATATACTAATTTCTCTATTTTAGACTAAATATCATTTTACAAAGAGATAAGTAATTGACGCTATTGGCATTATACATATCAACAAATATTGATTTGTAATTTCTTGATATGGCAACTACTACAAAATCTAATGTTAAAGGAACCTATAATAATTGGTTTAAAAATCTTTATACTGAATGTAGAACAGCTGAAGATATTAGATGTTCATCATATAATCATCGTCAGTTAATTAGAACAACATGTATTGAAACAGACATTAAAACAAAGTAAGTTTTATTCACTTTTTCAAGTTAGTCCTTTGAACCTCCCTCCACTATTGCGTATAACCTTTCATTTCTTCTTCAAATAATCTTTTCCATATCACCGTCGTCTTAGACGCTCAACTCATCGTTTCCCCTTTGGATTCTACTAGAGGGCATTGCTTGACTTGGCATATGATATCTTCAATTGGTTATCTAAGTGTATGACTAATCCATCTTTAGGTTTTTCTGCGTATTTGTTGTACGATGGGTTCTTTATTGATTCGTTGTCAGACATCTTCTAATTACGTTATCCAAATTCATTATTATTAATTTCCCTTGGGTTCCTTGTGGAAAGAAGGGATTCAGTAGCACACCTTCATTGCACTGTATTCTCTGCAGTCTTCAACCTTGCTGCACAACTGCCCAAAAACTTTCCTTTCTTCCCCGTTTGAATTCCTCTCGGGGGCTTGGCACGTGATATCCTCACTCAGCCTTCTCAGTATATACCCAATCCATCTCTAGTTTCTTCTACTGTATATTTATTGGTTGATTCATTCCGCGAATACTATTCAAATTTTCATGGAAACAATAATTTCGTCTGTCTTAAAAAATCTAGCCTGATAATAATTGTGCTCTAAACTGGTTGATTTCATTAGTAAAATATCATCATTGTATCAATCAGCCTGATGGTTGTACAATACACATTTAGTTTGACCAACGTTGAAGGACTGTGATTTACTATTCTAACCACAAAGAGATCAGTTTGTGCACATAACTATCTGTCAAGACATAAAGTCAGTTAGTCTAGTAAGAAATCACACAAAGGGATGAGTTAAGTGGATTTTTTTACTACAAACAATGTCAGTGTTGAAATATTTTAAGTTCAGACAAGTTCTTTGCAGATTAGTATGTTTTAAAACGGTAATTGAAGTTAGTTGTATAGTCTGGGATTAGGGTTACAAAAATTTAAAATCAGTGTGGAGATCTACTGTACTCACCACAAAGCATGAACAACATCCAGATTTTCAACACCAATACCACTCAAGTCAGTGATTCTATATCGGGTTCAAAAACTTACTGCGTCACAAAAACCACTTCCAACATACTACTACAGACATTCATCATCAACAACTGCTGCCTACGCTCACTCAATACTGAAGATTAGATGGCCAGAATGATAAGAATGAGCAACAAGGAAGTCATTCTGGGAACGAATCAACCGAGAACCAATCACCCAACAAATATGCAGTGGAAGAGAGTGGAGATGGATTGGGCATACATTGAGAAGCCCGAGTGGGGACATCACGCGCCAGGCCAGTTCTTCGAGTGGAAGCAAAATAGGAAACGACGAGTTGGGCGACACAGCTGAGGGTGACATGGAGGAGATTTGTTGGAGGAAGAAATGAAAGGTTGTGGGCAGTAGTGGAACGAGGTTGAAAAGAGTGCAGAGAAGAGAGTGAAATGGTGAGGTGCTACTGAATCCCTACGTTCAACTAGAAACCCTAGGGAAAAATAATAAAATGATAAGGGTCGCAAAGCGACCACTAATATCCCGTATCGTCGCAGACAATCTTTATGGATGGCCCTTCAAACATTTAGTCCAACTTCATGGATTCACTTCACACTACTAAATTCAGAACACATCAACACATATAAATTCAGTAGTGAATGCAATCCACTTTACATATGACTTAGAAAGTGATGAACCTGAGTTAACAACTTTCTACTGCAAGATTAAACGAACATAAGATGGAATTTTAGAAACTGGTGTCCGTAGGAAATCTTCCCATTTAAATCGCTACTTGAACTTCAAGTACTCCCACCCCATCTTAATTAAAGTAGGTTTACTTAAATGCCTAAGTGATAGGGCGGAGAAGTTTACTAGTAGACCAGGAAATCTGAGACAAGAAATTAGACACATCAAGAACATCTTCAGTCTAAATAATTAACAATCAAAATGTAAAGATAAATTCATAAGAAATCGAAAGAAAAATATTAGCAGTGGTAGTAGTAGTAGTAATACAGGTATTATCAATAATGATTCTATTGCTTATGGTAATGATGATGACAGGGGTGGGAGACAATTCAAAGCCTCTACTGTGTTACCATACAAGGAAGGCACCTCAGAAGCATTACGAAGAATTTTCAATAAGGCTGGCTAGCATAAGAGTAGATGGTATTTAAACCCCGAAACTCTCTTCTTAAGTTGAGATCATGTTGATACGATTAGGCAAAATAATCTGCAAGGAATGCATAGTCAAATATATAGGTCGAAGTAGTTGATCAGGATCCTAATCAGGTAAGAAATTTAGAGAAACGCACGACTATAGCTCTGCACGCGATTACACACAATCATACAGTAGGGTGGAATAATGCGACAGTATTATGAACTAACTTACTTGGTGTAGGGAGAGATTGGTAGCCGTATCTCTGTTTATCGAATCAACACCAAGTGTGCGCAGTAACAGGAATCATTCTCCATATGTGTCCCAGATATGTGGAATATCCTACTACCCTTGTCATGACAGAGAAGGCGAGAAAGAATTAGGAGTATATAAACTGTGTCCGTAAGTTGTCGAGTTAGTTACCTGATCTGATATGAATATGGACAATGAATTGTGCCCAAAATGTCGTTATCCAGTAAATGGTACTGTTCCTTCAGTGCGTGTGACATTTCTATTAAACAGACCAAAAATCAAATTATAATTGACCACGGTGATCAAGTTTTACTTCTATACAAAAAGTCATGTAGACAGCTTTGTTCTTTCATTTTATCGGTTAGTTTGACAACGGATACTAACAATACTTCTTCAGGATCTTATTTAAGATTATTGATATAATGGGGGTAGATTTCACCCCCATGAATAATCAGTCACCATTTTATCATTCAGATGTTTTCCAAGATCCGCACAATATTATTTCTTCGATAGACTATCCTATCTTTTTATAATATTTATGAGTAGTTTTTCAACAAAATGAAAGAACGCAACTGTTTATTCATGTCTTTACACGGGTTCTACGATCTCTCGTCTATACGGTCTCCCTAAAATACACAAAGAAGGCATTCTACTCCATCTAATGCTAGATATGATAAATTCTTCATATCATTCAATGGCGAAATGGCTTGTAGAAGTACTCGAACCTGTAAAGAAGAGGCTATTGAACTACAGTCTACGTGACACATTTGATTTTGTTGACTGAATAAAGAGTATCAGTTTGGCAGGTAAAAGAATAATTTCATTGGATATGGTGTCCCTCTTGACAAATGTCCCACTGACAGAAACCATCTACTTCCTATACGAATTCATTCAATGTCATAACATAGATGTTGGTATCTCAATTCACTCCTTCAATGTACACTTCAGATTTAATAATGAGATCTACATGCAGGTAGATAGTGTGGTGATGGGATCTCCATTAGGACCCCTCCTAGCTGACTTCTTCATGGCAAGGCTGAAAAGCACCAAATTATCATAAACAATCAATGAACTTCATGTCTATAAAAGGTAGATGGGTGATACGTTTATAGTTTATGATGAAAATATGTATCTTGCAAACTTGCTTCATTCCTTCAACAATGCCCACTCTTCAACCAGATTCACTCTAAAAACAGAATCAAATTCAACCTTCCATTTTCTTAATGTTCAACTTCAAAGAAAAGACGATAATTCACTTCGTAGATCGATCTACAGAAAGCCTACATGGAATGGGCAGTTTATTAATTTTCAGAGTTCAGTCCCTCTCTGCAGGAAAAGAAATCTTATTCATTCACTTTCTTCGAGGATCAGGAAAATATGTACTGAAGACACTGTTGACAGAGAACTGCAAATACTTCGACGAACTCTAGCTGAAAACGGTTTCCCACTCAGATTCCTGGATAAGAACATAAAGCCAAAGAACCCAAGTGAACGAAGACATTTGGCGCCGAAAAAGATTCTTTTGTTGAATCTTGAATTCAAAAATGATATTGGTGCAGAGATCCTCAGGAAACGACTGTCACAATGCTCAAACACAACATACTTTGCCGCCAACCTTCAGGTAATTTTCTCCTGCAAGAAACTTTTCGATCAATGTGTGGAAGATAAGCCGATGCATTGGGCAACATCAATGTATGTATACCAGTTTACTTGTTCATATGAAGCTGAGTACATCGGCCGTACCATGCGTCCACTTGTAAAACGTATCTGAGAATACTACCCAGACTGGTTTGCAAAAGGAGAATGGAAATTCATCTTCAGTTTGATAACAGAACACCTGGTGAGCTCAAGCCACTTAGCTCCTTTCGACAGCTCATGTAAAATTCTCTACAGGGTTCGATCAAAGCACTTGAAGGGAGTAAAATCGAAGCATATGTCTATAGCTGAAGCACTAGCCATCCAGAAGTTCCAACCAGTGTTATCTGTGCAGAAAAGGTACGTCTAACCCTTATCTTTGCCATGGTTATCATAAAGTCTTGTCTGCCACAGATTCATTTTGTATCAGGTAACTACATATGTATACCTTATTCCTTTTTCTACTCTGTCACAGGTTTAACCTGTATTATTCGTCCCTTGGGGTTGTAGTGGAATATAGGGATTCAGTAGCACCTCACCATTTCACTCCCTTCTCTGCACTCTTTTCAACCTCGTTCCACTACTGCCCACAACCTTTCATTTCTTCCTCCAACAAATCTCCTCCATGTCACCCTCAGCTGTGACGCCCAACTCGTCGTTTCCTATTTCGCTTCCACTCGAAGAACTGGCCTGGCGCGTGATGTCCCCACTCGGGCTTCTCAATGTATGCCCAATCCATCTCCACTCTCTTCCACTGCATATTTGTTGGGTGATAGGTTGTTGGTTGATTCGTTCCCAGAATGACTTCCTTGTTGCTCATTCTTATCATTCTGGCCATCTAATCTTCAGTATTGAGTGAGCGTAGACAGCAGTTGTTGATGATGAATGTCTGTAGTAGTATGTTGGAAGTGGTTTTTGTGACGCAGTAAGTTTTTGAACCCCATATAGAATCACTGACTTGAGTGGTATTGG